GCAAATGTGCAGTAGTTTGAACATTCTCTGGCATTGCCTTTTTTGGAGATTGGAATGAGAACTGACCTTTTTCAGTCCTGTGGTCACTGCTGAATTTTCAATATCATATTCTGTTGTCAGATACTTTATTCTATTATGAATCTGAAATTATGGTTGCCATACATGTAATGTAGAATGAGAATATATTAAGTCACATGACTCCTAATTTCACTCCATTCTGTTTCTGGTAAAATGCTGAGCATTACATAAGAAGCTGAGAGAATAACTTGAAAAATTATTCTCTCAGCTTCTTATATAACGCAAACTTGTATGGCATTTTTCACCATACAAATCATTCCAAACATGAAAGGAAACACAAAAGACACCAAATAGCCAAAACAATCTTAAGAAAGAAAGGCAAAACAGTAAATATTCACTCTCTCCGATTTCAAACTATACTACAAAGCTACGACAATCAAAACAGCATGGTTCTGGCACAGAAACTGACATACAGATCAATGGAACAGGATAGAAAGATAAGAAATAAACCCACACACTTTTGTGAATAATTAATCTACAATAATGGAGGCAAGAATAAACAGCAGGAAAAAGAAAGTCTCTACAATAAATGGTTTTGAGAAAACTTTACAGCAATCTGCAAAAGAATCAAACTGGACTGATTTCTTGCACCATAAAGAAGAATAAACTCAAAATGGTTAAATACTTAAGTGTAGGACCTGAGCCCATAAAACTCCTTAGTAGAAAACAAGCAGTATGCTCTCTGAAATCAGTCTTAGCAATGACTTATAGATATGTCTCCTCCAGCAAGGGAAACAAAAGCAAAAATAAGCAAGTGGAACTACATCAAACTACAACAGTTTTGCACAGTGAAGGAAGATATCAGCAAAATAAAAAGGCTACTTACTGAATTGAAGAAGATATTTGCAAACAATTTGCCTGACCAGGGGTTAATATCCAAAATATACAAAGAACTTATGCAATTCAGCTCCAAAACATCACCAACAACAAAGCAACCCTCTTAAAAAATGGGCAGAGGTCCTGGAGAGACATTTCTCCAAAGAACATAAACAGATGGCCAGCAAGCACATGAAAAGATACTCAGTATCAGTAATCATAAGGGAAATGCAAATCAAAACCCCAATGAAATATCACTGGGATTATGATAAATGTCACACGAATGTCATAATGGCTATCATCAAAAAGACAAAAAATAAGAAGTGTTAGTAAGGATGTGGGAAAAAGAGACACTTAGGTATTATTGGTGGGAATGTAAATTAGTACAGCCACTATGGAAAATAGTATGGGTATTCCTCAAAAAACTAAAAACAGAACTATCATATGATCCCACAATTCCACTTCTGGGTATTTTTCTGAAGAAAATGAAAATATTAATTCAAAAATATACATGCACACCTATATTCACTGCAACATTATTTACAATAGCCAAGATATGGATGGAAGCAAACTAAGCCATGATATGGATGCAAACATATATATATGTAATATAAACATAATACATATGTGTACATGTATGTATTATATGTATGCCTATTATATATGTGTGTATATATTATACATACATGTGTGTATATATATTCATATACATATGGATATATGTATACATATAATATATATCCACACACACATATATATATATAAAATGAGCTATCCTTTAGTCATGGAAAGAATGAAATCTTGCCATTTATGACAACGTGGATGGACCCAGAGGGTATTATGCTAAGTGAAATAAGACAGAGACAGACAAATACCATATAATTTCACTTATATGTGGAATCTAAAAAACAAATCAAAAAATGAACAAACAAAAGCAAGAGTCATAGATACAGAGAACAAACAGGTGGTTCCAGAGGGAAAGAAGTCAGGGAAGGAGAGAAATGGATGAAGGAGATTCACAGGCACAATTCTTTTATTACAAAATAAATGAACCACAGATATGAAGTGAACAGAGTGGGGAATATAGTCAATATTTATGTAATATCTTTGCACAGAGACAGATGGCAACTAGTCTTATGGTGATCATTTTGAAATGTACAAAAGTATTGAAATATTATGCTGGGTACCAGGAACTAACATTGTTTAGTAGGTCAATTATACTTTGAAAATAAACAAACTTACAGGAAAAGAGATCAGAACTGTGGTTACTAGAAGTGCAGGTGGGCAGAGTGCAAATTGGTTGGGGCAATCATAAGGTACAAATTCCAGTTATAAGATAAATAAGTATCAATACTAGGAATGTAATGTACAACATGAAAAAGATAATTAAAACTGCTATGCATTATAAATGAAAGTTAAGAGAGTAAACCTTGAGTTTTCATCAAGAGGAAAAAAAATGATTTTTTTATTTCTCTAATGTTGTATTGATATGAGATGATGGATATTCATTAAACCCATTGTGGTCACCATTTCATGATGCGCATAAGTCAAATCATTATGCCATACACCTAATGCTTATACAATGCTCTATGTCATTTATATCTTAAAAAAACTGGGGGGAAAGTGTTAACTAGAAATGTTGTCTTGCCCGTTCTGCTCTCTCAAAGGGGCGTACATAACTCTGCATCTGGCACATAGTAGGTGCTCAGTTTAAGTTTGTTAATTTATTTACCTCAAAGTAACTCTAGATTTTCTGATTTTAAATATTGAGTATTTCCTGATTTCAGTACCACAAAATCACAATTAAGATAAACCAGCAAATTATTCAACAAATGAACTGCATCTTTACATTCAAGAGGCTGTGTTATGTATCAGCGGCCACCCCTTCCACAACATGACTGATAGAGAAATGTGCCGTAAGTTTGGACTACCCCACTGAGGATATCATTATATCTCCTGTATATGACTAAAACGCAGTCACGGACACTTCACCAAGTTCAAACGGTAAAGACAGAGTGGAAATAATGGGAGAAGAGTGGTAAGAACAAAATGTGCTCTTTTACATATTTGCAAGATACTTGTTCTCTTCTGCTGACGATAAAACATTCAAAATCTTTCCCCCATCCACACTTTGCATCGGCTCATGTTGAAATCTTCCACACCTTAAAATGTGGTATAGTTGTCAATGCAGAAACACATTAAAAAAAAAACAACAGATTGTCACACCACATCTTTTCTGAAGAATATTCACTTTCCCAGAGTTAAGTTTCTCCAGTTGCTCATCTCATGGAAAGTATAAGCAATGAAAACTAACATAAGAGATTTGTGTCAATGATAATTCAGTTAAATGAAGAGAAAATTCGTCTCCTTACATGGCACACTATGACCCCAACTTTCAAATATACTAATGAAAAGGAGTTAGGAAACTTCTGGTTTCTGTCACTTTAGTTCTTGAACAAAAGTGATAGTCAAATGAAGTGGTTTTGGTTTCGGCTGGGTGATACGTGTTTGACACACATGTGGTTCAAAGACATTTGACCAGCATCACTGGTACATCGTCCCTAGCTAATGTCATGCAGTGCAAAGAGCACACCTAATCTCTGAGGGAAAGAAGTGCAAAGTGTTTTGTGCTTCCATTTTATTTTAATTCCTTTTTTCAAATATGAAACATGATAGGCTAATAGTTGTTACATATGACCAATAATAAAAGTCAAATGGATTGAGGAAGAGAAATACTGCCATTTACTTCTATGACCAAGTAGAATTTTATTCTATTACTTTCTCTCTGAGCTCTGTGTAATCTGGAAATCATGACCTACATGTACACTGTAAGATACTCCATGCAGCTAAGACATATGGCACCGGGGAACAAGAGCGTTGACAGTCGAGTTTCTTGTAGCTATGTGACCTTGGCCAAGAGATTTGGCCTTTCTAAGACTGCAGTCCCTCATCAGTTGAACTAAGAATTTGGGCAATAATTTCAAATCTTTCTCTTGTGCAATCTAGTCAAAAGTGGGTTGATGCATTTCCTGAATCTCTTAAAATCTATAGATTTCCCTCCAACTCCTTTTTTGTTCCTCCTCGCAATGTATTTGTTAAATAAACAAGCTCTAAGTTTTGCTGATCACATTCCTGTAGCATTAACACTTCCGTCGGTCTTTGTATCTCCTGGCAAATGATAGATGTAGATTTGATTAAATGCAGATTTAATTTTTTGGCAAGAATATTTTGGAGGCAGTATTACGATCTTTTCTTTGCAGCCACGTGATAAATGACTGCTTTCCTTTTGGGGACATTAGCAATTGATAAATAATGCCAAGTTCATAATTTCTATAGAGATTTCTGAGTTTGTTTATGATGAAGAGTTTCAAAATATATGTTGACACTGTAAGAAGCTATTAGTGTTTAACTTTATATAATTTTCTCTTCTATTAAATAAAAACTGTAAGTTCCTATTAACTTTTCACAATTCTTAGTCAATAAAAGTGACAAAGAAAAAATGAAATAAATAGAAATACAAGACTTTGCATGAGAGATTTAAAATGAAAAATAATTTCCCATCCCATGAGATGGTGAGAAAGGTAGGGAAGAAAATAAAACTCTAGAACACACTAAAAGTACTTGATTTCATTATGGTTTTGGTAAGCACACTTATCTGATGACTTTTCATTCCTGTAAAACACGCCCCCAAATAAATAAATAAGTAGAAATAAGTCAATTCCTGCATAAGTTCCTGAGAAATTCCGTCTACTAGCCTTTCCAAAGAGCCTTTAGAATTTTTTTTTTTTTATTGTATTGCAGATCTGAGTGACAATCTCTACCCTCAACACTAACAGGAAGGAAGAAACTTACCAGGACAGCTGTGGCATTAAGGGGAGGACATCCTCCTGTTAGGCTCCCCAGAGGACGGAGCACTCGGAGATGAAGGAATACTCCAGCAAAAGGCTGGCACCGGGGCCCAGGAGACAAGCCCTCCTGCTCACGGGGAGCGAGCGTCTGCCTGGGAGGCCCGGGCCGCCGGCAGCCCGAGCATCAGTCTGGAGCAGGCAGGCTGGGTCATCCTGCAAGCCCGGCCTGAGCACAGAACTGTGCACGACTCCTTAGGCTGCGCCTGCCTGCTCCTCTGGCTGGAGGGTAGCGTGCCAGGGACACCGGGGCAGGAGCAGTTTCAGCTGGGTGTCAGAGTAAGTCCGGACAGGAAGCATCAGGCCCTGAAATGAACAATCACAGAGCGGGTGGAAGAAACAGCACAGGTCTCAACAGAGGAATCCCAGACAACTCCACCAAGGAAAACTCTGATAAAGAAGAGGACAGCACGCCAAGTCTGTGCTCCAGGGTCTCTGTGAACAAACGCCTGTAACTCTGAACACATTTCATCGTAGAAAGAAAGTTTCTTACAAAGATGACGTTTCCAGGTAGCCCAGAAGCTGCAACGTTAGAAAAACGTGCTTTTCTTTCCTCCTCTCCCTCTCTCTCTTTCTTCCTTTCCTTCCTTTCTTTCCTGTTCCCCCTTTTTTCTCTCTCTCATCAAATGTAGGATTCCCCACTATGTCTAAATACTGACGTACGTTCATGCTCAGTCGCTTCAGTCGTGTCCGACACTTTGCCTCCCGTGGACTGTAGCCCACCAGGCTCCCCCGTCCAAGGGATTCTCCAGACAAGAATACTGGAGTGGGTTGCCATTTCCTTCTCCAGGGGATCTTCCTGACCCAGGGATCAATCCTGGGTCAGTTGCAAGGGCTGGCAGATTCTTTACCCACTGAGCCACCAAGTATCAATTCCTAAGTATGCAATAGTAAGACATCTAGGTATTGCCCAGTATCAGGTGTAATTATATTTTCCACCCATACTTCAGTGAAAATGAACTATAATACATACAGTGAATAATGCTACTGTTGACTAGGTTGGAAAACCACCCTTAGTGAAGTACTTCTGCATGGCTCTCTGTAAGTATAAAAGGAAGGTTTGGTGGCAGAAAGAGAGGCTTGGAGTCTGTGGTCACACGTGCTGTTTGGCCGGGCTGAGGATCAGCAGAATGAGCCATGGAAGGGCAAAGTAAAACTAGAAAGTGTCAACTTCCTGAATCTAGGAAGAAAGAGGTAATTTTTTCTTCTTGGTTCTCAAGACTCTGGAAATGAATGGCCATAAAAGTGAGTCACTCAGTCTTCCCTGACTCTTTGTGATCCCGTGGACCATACAGTCCATGAAATTTTCCAGGTCAGAATACTGGAGTGGGTAGCCTTTCTCTTCTCCAGGGGATCTTCCCAACACAGGGATCAAACCCAGGTCTCCCACATTGCAGGCAGATTCTTTACCAGCTGAGCCACAGGGAAGCCCAAGAACACTGGAGTGGGTGACCTGTCCCTTCTCCAGGGGATCTTCCCGACCCAGGAATCAAACCAGGGTCTCCTACATTGCAGGCAGATTCTTTACCAGCTGAGCTGTCAGGGAATGACCATGAATCTCTGAATAAAGCAACTTGTGACACAATGGACCAAAGAAACCAGCAGACCTTCCAAAGAGCAACATTTGAGTTCCATGTGCTACTGACAACACATGGCTACACTTACAACTGCAACTTTTGGATGCGATGTTTTTACTCAGAATAGAATCACACTCATTCACAAAAACTCTTTTGTATACCATTCCATATATATATAAATGTCTTCTAGTTACATAAGAGTTGCTCTTCATCTTCCTCTTCCTTGGAGCAATGATGGGCATCAAACTGACTGATCAATTCAATAATGATTCCTTCACTATTGGACGTTAATGGTTTTTCAGTATTTTCACTGTCCACCTCACTATATCAGACCCCTTAACAAAGTCTCAGTTAGTTTGGTTCTGTCCAATTTCCATTCACACTTTTCTCAGTAGCTCTTATCATTTTCAATTTTCCTTTTAATCTATGGGCTTTTCTAGGTCTCTTATGCTCATCTACTTTCTTTAAGAGCATCTCCACCTGCTCATAAGAGAGAATCACATGAATATAGGAGAATAATAGTGATGATGTACACTACATTTGAACAATAACAACAAGACATTGAATTCTTTGAGAAAAACAACTAAATTAATTTCAGTGCACTCTATATGGTCTTATCTAGACCTCAGGTGTAACTTAAATGTTTGTAGTCATATACACATGCCTATTTGTTAAAACAGATTCTTGTGAGTGGTGAATAAAGAAACTTTTCCATAAAGTTTATATCAAATTTTCAAAGAGGGAGAGTTCAGAGTGCAAGGGAATATCTGTCCTTCACTAAGTTAGGCACACAATGAGCCCTTTAAGTTACCCTGAACAGCTCAGAATCAGGCCTTGGTTTTAGTTTAGGAGGTCATAATAGTTGCTCATATGTCACTGCCAAAATCCATCTATCCCACAAAGCAACATAAACCAAAAAATTGACTGGCTGCCTTTATCATGAAAAACTCAGATTCAAAGCAGTGGGCAACTATATGATGTTCATAGCAATAAACTAACCAGTGACTACTACACACACTAGATACGGGTCCATGACACATGCTTTGAGCCTATATCATACTAAACTATGAATTTGAAGGATTTAATTTTCCCAAGCAATGTAGGGACAATGGAATTACTCTTTGTCATAATCACTACAAGTTTAAGGATATTTAGGCTGTTGAAATAATATATGAAAATATATCTTTTAAACAGTGATTTCCATCTAAATACACAGAGTTGCTGTAATGGACTGAATTGTATCTCTCCCTAACCGCTAGGACCTCAGAATGTGAATGTATTTGTCGATAAGCCATTTAAAAGGGTCATTAAGTTAAAATGAGACCACCAGGGTAGGCCCTAATTCAATCTGATTGGTGTCCTTAAAAGAACAGATGAGGACCCACAAGGAGACACCGAGGGTGCGCGTGCAGAGACCAGCCCGTGAATCTACAGGGAGACGCCAAGGGTGTGCGTGCAGAGACCAGCCCGTGAATCTACAGGGAGACGCCAAGGGTGTGCGTGCAGAGACCAGCCCGTGAATAGACAACATCCAGGGAGAGACCTAAGAGAAACCCAGTGCTGCCAGCACCCTGGCCTTGGATCCTGAGCTCCAGAATGGAGAGGAAGGAAATTTCTATTGCTTAAGTGACCCGGTCTGAGACATTCGTATGGCAGCATTAGTAAACAAATACAGTTACTATTACTACTTGAAATTAAAAGAACTGGAGATTAGAGTCAATAGAAGCCCTACTGCTGCTGTTGTTCACTCGCTCAGGTGCGATCTAACTCTCCCGTGAGCCCCTCTGTCCACGGGATGGATTTTCCAGGCAAGGACACTGAAGTGGATTGCCATCTCCTTCTCTAGGGGATCTTCCCCACTCAGGGATCGAGTCCACGTCATTATACTACAGGCAGATTTTTACCACAAGAACTTCCCTGGTGGCTCAGCTGGTAAAGAATTCTCCTACAAGGCGGGAGACCTGGGTTCGATCCCTGGTTTGGGAAGATCCCCTGGAGAAGGGAAAGGCTACCCACTCCAGTATTCTGGCCTGGAGACTTCCATGGACTGTGTAGTCTGTGGGGTCACACAGAGTTGGACATGACTGAGTGACGTTAACTTTTTTACCACTGAGCCACCAGAAAAGCTCCATAAGCTCTATTAAGCCAAAACAATGTTTAATGCAACTAGTTATACATCTAATTGTTCCAAAAGGAGAAAGTTCTCCTAGAGGAGAAATCCTGATGAGCACAATTTCTTTTATGTGTAATGAGAGAGAGGTCATTTCTATGGGAACCAAGTCTCTGACCATGTAGAACTTCATAGACATGCTTGGTAGCCAGGGGCTGCATAGTCTTGAAACCTTAATCTCTTAATAGATCTTTAGATGGCAGTGCTAATTTCAACAGATTTCAGAACAGATAATTATTTCTTCAACGAATCCCACAAAAAGGCCATAGAGGAAGTTGTTTCTAACGTGATAGGATCATGTTAAACTTTAGAATGAAGCCCCTAGTGTTTACAGCCTGCTCCCTGGTTATTCAGCCACTGAACCTTTCATCTTCCAATCAACAGGCTTTTAAGGAGGGTCTGCCCTGTAACTTGATAATTAAATAGTGCCTTAAAATAACTGACGGTTCATTTTTTAAGACAGATTGGGTGATAGAAATTATATCCTCTTGTAGCATATAATAACTACTTGCAGTAATTAAAGGACGTTTGCTATGGATGTTTGTAACACAGTATAGGGATGAGGCAGGAGGAAGATTCCCCGCCTCCACCAGGGGAAAGCGGTTGGATATTCACTCCCTGGGGACCGAAACTCCAGGACAAGGCTAGCAGGACAGTTAAGAGGGAGGCTGGGCCCTGCCCCAACCACATATTCCTCATTCTTGAAGTCAGGAGACCTCTCCAACACACAAGCCAGAAGGGCTCCTTGGAGGTCAAAGGGCAGTGATGAGTGATGTTAAGCTACCCACAGCCTCTGCAGTGGAATCCCTCTTGGCTAAGAGGTCATGTGCACACAGCGGAGGATGCTGAGATACACCAAACACGGGCTGTGAACCCGGCAAAGCAAAACGATCGGCCCAAGGGAAACCAGGAGTGTCCCACGAAAGTAATTCAAACCACCTCAAGGGTGCGACTCGGCCTCTGCGTCTGCCTGTGTGTTCACGTACTACACTCCTTTTCTTCTTAGCATGTTACTTGGTCCCTATGTTCTTTGCGGAAGTTCTTTTCCACAGATCCAGAGGGCCAGGGCCCTTGTCACTGAGCACCGGTCTAGCGGCCAGGGTCTGGTGCTCTCAGCGCTGCAAACAGGTCTCAGTCTCTGGGCGGGAGCCCAAGCCCACTCCGCGGCGTCACTGAGGCCACCTGAGGTCAGGGGAACTATAACAAAGGAACAGGCTCACCTCCGAGAAAAGTCAGCCGTGGGTCCTGTCCCAGGCAGGGCTTGACGTCAACGACTTTGGTTCTATCCATTCTCATCTTCCAAACGTGGTAGTTTCTGCTCAGAGATCTGCCTTCTGTGAGATCGCTGAGGTTCAGGGCTCTTCACCTGCACAGGACCTTCTTTCCAAGGAACCCTAGAAAAAGGAAAAAAGTTTGATATTTTTTTGTTGTTAATGATAGTTGGCTTCCAAAAATCATGATTCGCTATGATTGCTTGATTATTCAAAGTATTCACATTTGTATCTAATTGTGCTTTTCTAATTTTGTATGCACTAAGTAAGTATCAGACAAGGAGATCTGTAGATCACATCTATTTCACGAATGATATACTTATGACTCAGAGAAGGTAAAGAAGGTCTCAAGCTGAGGAGGTTTTGCTCTCCTGCCCAATATTTGGCAATTCCGTGAGACATTTTGCACTTCCTGGATAGCTCAGTTGGTAAAGGATCCGTCTGCAATGCAGGAGACCCCGGTTCGATTCCTGGGTTGGGAAGATCCCCTGGAGAAGGGATAGGCTACCCACTCAAGAATTCTTGGGCTTCCCTTGTGGCTCAGCTGGTAAAGAATCTGCCTGCGATGCAGGAGACCTGGGTTTGATCCCTAGGTTAGGAAGATCCCCTGGAGAAGGGAAAGGCTACCAACTCCAGTATTCTGGCCTGGAGAATTCAATGTATAATCTATGGGGTCGTGAAGAGTCAGACACAACTGAGCAAATTTCCCTTCATTTCACTGAGATATTTTTGGGTTTTAGTACAAAGGGGTGTGGCTACCAGCATCTTGTGGGCAGAAGCCAAGGAAGCTGCGTACCATCCTAAAATGCAGAGAGCAGCTCCCATATCCAGAAATTATCCCAACCAAAAAGGCCAACAGAGCCCAGCCTGCGAGACTTTAAAATAAAGTGTCCACTCTTTCAAAACTAAGAGGTGGTAAACCAGGATCTAGAACCAAGCAAATTACAAGCTACAAAGCTCATGCTGTTTCCTCTGTGTGACTCTGAAGTGGGAAGCCACCCCTCCTCCTGGGGACTTTCCCAACCCAGGGATGGAACCGAGGTCTCCCTCATTGCAGGTGGCTTCCTTACCAGCTGAGCCACAGGGAAGCCCATGCGACTCTGGTTGAACAACTGAACTCTTTTCCATCAGCAGCATCAGTATCAGTGCTCTGATAAAAATTAGTCTCACTTGTACAGTACATCAGTGGTCACTGCGTTTGCCTTCTTCATGTTTGGTAATTGAAACTAACAGATGTATGTGGACATGGTCTCTTGTGAACAGAGGGTGGTGGACAAGCAAGATGGCACCAGCCCTTTTCCAGTGCTACGTGTCCCCGTGAATGGCACCATCACGCACTCAGGGATACAGGCCATGCCCCAAAAGGCATTCTTATCTTTGTCTCCTCCCCTCTTCACCATATTTAATCCATTATTTCCTCTCTTAAAATTCACTGCAAGTGATCGAGTTATTATCTTCCACTACTGCTCTAGTGTTCACCTTGGTGGACCCAGGCTACAAAACAATCAGAATGATCCTTCTGAAATATGCATCTGAATATGATACCCACCTAGGTTCTAATCCTCACACTGACTGCTTATCCCTCCGTGACCCTGGGTTAAATCACACAACAACTTCGCATTGGTCTTACAGTAAAAGCCCAAATCCCCACAATGGCCTACAAGGTCCTTTTAGTCACACCTGTGATTTTCATTGCAAAATCACCTGCAGTCTTTCTCTCTCATCCCTGATGATCTAGTTACTGGTTCTCTTTTAGCTCTTTGACATATGCATGTCACTTTCCAGTACAAGACCTTGCACTATGCTTAAAACATCCTGCTTCTGACTCCTACTTATTTTTTATCTAATGCATTTAAATAAATCTCTCACTCCATTGGATAGGCCACATTGTCACATTCTAGTTTTCCATAGCACAACAAAGATCTCTCTGTGAACTTACCACAGCTATAGTTTTAAATTCACATGTGTGATCATGTTTTAAAAATGCAATTTGCACTATAAGCTTCATGAAGGCAGGTACAGTGTTGAGATTTACTTGAAAAGCAAAGTATATTGAGAGTCTATCCTCAGTGTCTCTTAGAGAACTGAGCACTTATTGAGGGTCAATAAATACTTGTTGAATGAATTAGTGCACAAATAAATGGATTAATGCTTAGATTAATGAATGCATTTTAAAGTATTAATTGTTCAGTCATTTCCTACTCTTTGCAATTCCATGGACTGTAGCTTATCAGACTCTTCTGTCCATGGAATTTTCCAGCCAAGAATACTGGAGTGGGTAGCCATTTCCTCCTCCAGGGAATCTTCCCAACCCAGGGATCAAACCTGCATCTCCTGAGCATTGCATATTCTTTACTGTCTGAGCTACCAGAGGGTCAATTCTCCGATTAATGAATGCCTTATAGTAAATGTTAAATAGACTTAGGGTAAATATAAGCCTTAATGCTCGGTGTAACTAAGCTCTGGATTAGGTATGATACTAACTAAATGAGAGCCAACTAGATCTTAGGCAACTAGAGATATCTAAGGCAGGACAATCACTCTGACTAAAACAGATCAAGAACTAATTGCTGAACTGAGTTTTCGTATGAAAAGAAGCTTTCAACTTGCACTTTCCTATAAACCAGTTACTGATTTTTCCAGAGTGTAACATTTGATGCCTTGAGTGATCATTACTAGTAAAAATAAGAATATGTGACATTAATGATGATGATACCATTGATTTCAATTGCAGGTGGCAACAGAGAACAGCTTTCTCCAAAAGACCTCACAGGGCAGCCCTGAGGTGATGTCTCACGATCCAGGAGAGCAAACAGGGTGCCGGCATCAGAGCCTGAGTCTGAGACCCACACCTGCTTAGCCTGCTTGGAGCCACATGAAGCCTTGGATTCAATTCGTGCTGAGTCCGACTGTCTGTTGCAGGTAAGAAAACAAAAGACCCAAAAGTGCAACAGCATAATGCCTCCTGCATCTTTGTGGAATTCAAGTTCAAATATAGGAACCTGCTCCCTCTGCATAGCATGTAAAATGCAAAGCTGGATTCTAAATTTGAGGCATCAATAGTTTGTACTTGACTTCAGGACCTTTAATGTGTCTTTTTTTTTTTTTCCAATTATAGCCATGCATTCACCAAATTGCAGGTTATCTCAACTTTGAATGACCTTTCTCTAAATCTGTCAAATATGATCTCTTAAAAATGTTACATTAAGAATAAAAAGTGAGCCTTTGACCTAGATGAATATGCTAATATTCATGAGAGTAAAATGTTTTAGCTGTAGCATTCATCTTAAAACAACTATAATTCAACAACCTAAAATTCCACTTTTACTGTGGTTTTTGCAGTGACATTTTCCCATTCATTTACCATCATCCTGCCAATGACTGGCCATAAAACAGCAAAATTGTGTTGGCTTTTACCCAGCTTGCTCCAAAATAGATGACTCTGGGATCTGTCGGAAACCAAAGAAAGGACAGGCGGCCCCTTGATAGTTCTTGCTTTTAATTTATCTTTGTATAAATAAAACAGGTTGCCCCTCCCTTTCTAAAGCTGAAAGTCAGCCTTAAATGCTTAAGTGAATGACCCAAGGCAGGAATTGATGCCCAAGGACAAGGAGAGGCTGCAGTTAGAGGCACTTACTGTTTTGCCTCACAAGCAGGCTCATTGTACATTTCTCAGACAAAACAACACAAGTGGTGGCCCACTCCTCCTGACTGGCTCGGTTTCTTTGGGCAAACAAAGGCAAAATTGACTTCTCTGTCTTAAATAATAGCAGCAAGGACAATATAATTGATATTCAAATGACTTTTCACAGAAACTGCTGTGAGTCTCTACCTCAAAGACCAGCTCACCAGGAAAAACTCAAGTCAGCACTAGATTTGGTCTAGGGTGGCTCTGTGTAAAACATTTCTGAAGCGCCGGAACATCCCCGTGTCCTTGGTACTTTCTGCATCACAGCTCCTCTTGAATAAAGAGTTATCGGCTTAAAAATATAGTTAGAAAGTAAAACAGAAAGGCAGGTATCACTATATTGCTTTGTGTCTTCAACAAATATTTGAGAGTCTATGCAAGATGCTGAGAGACATAAAATACACGTCACAAGGTCTACTCACTTTTAATAATGAGTGCTGTTTCTGTGCTAGACATTGTGCTTTATAAACAGTCTCATTTGATCCTTGCAATAACCCTATGACATAAAGCAACTTCTTACCTCAATTATACACATGGTGACATTGAGATTCAAGGACACCTTCTGGTCAAATGCTTAAAACCCATGAATGCTGAGATAGGATTCACTCCCAGTTACGATGGCTCCCTTTCATGAAATCTAGTAGAAAAGAGATAAAGTACCAGTAACTTGATCACAAGGCAGGATGAAAGCTGACTTACTAAACACTACTTTTAACTTGGGGTATATTTGAAGCTGAAGGGGTTGGGTATTGTAACGTTTATCTGCCTGATGCCTTCAGATCCACTGTGGTCCTTCTCTTGCTTCACACCAAACAAGGCTGACCCTGCAAACTACACTTCCCAGACTCTCTTTCTGCCTAGGTTGGGCTAAAGGGAAATATCTGCTGGTGGATGATGGGAGCGAATGCGGCATAAGGAGAGAAGCCAGGATCTCTCTCTTCCTCTCTGTTCTCTGAGTGGTGTCCTAGTTCTCCAAGCAGTAGTACCTGTGACTTCACCATCGCTCCAGCTCCCAGCAGACTGGCCCACTGTGGCTGCAGCTTCGGCCAGGAGGCTGTAACCTGTGGTCACCCCCCTCCCTCTGTCTCTCCAGCTGACAGCCTCTGGTAATGCCTTCTTCTGGGCTGTTCTTCCTTTCTCTGTCTGCTTTTTCAGCTCTTTGAACCCTTTGTCACTCATTCTCCATACTGCATTTCTTCTATTGGCTGACCTGACGTGGTGATTTTACTTTTCTGGCTAGACCTTCACTGATACAGGTATCATGGAATTTCTGCTGAGCCTGAAAGGACTGGGGAGATGACATGGAAAGTTAGAAGTTGAGAAGTCTCAGCAGTAGGTCTTAGCCTTGCCTTCTCTTTCTTACACTCATGACTGTCATGTAAGTAGGGAGTCCTTATGAGGAAGGGACACTCTGAGTTAGACCCTTTTCAGAGAGGCTGCTAAGAGGAAGGGGTCTTGGCAAGGCTCTCTCTCCCTGCTCAAGGATTATTAGTGCACACAGAAGAGGAGTTTGTTTCCTTTTTAAAAACAGGTGGTGAGTGATGCTAAAGATGTATATGGCACTGGAGTGTGACTGGGCCTTCTGCATTTCCTACTTTTTGGCTCCTGAGCACCATGTGTTGAAGGCAAATTGGACAACTGATACAAGGATACCCTACAGTCAGAGCCTCAATCTGCGGAAAAGATGCAGGTGGCCTGGCAAACGAGCCACAGACACTCCATATTGGTAATGAGCAACAGGAGAGAGAAATACTCTGAAGCTAAAATATGCAGCAGCATGCAGACAAATCACAGTGGCAGCCCCGGGATTCAAAGCCACCTTACCCATCCAGACCAAAGAAGCTGTGCAGGATCATGCATCCTGCCAGGTTTCATCGAGGGGGCAGGAAATGAGCACGTAAGTAGAGAATGAGGCTGGCAGACAGCTGCCGAGGGAAAAGCAGCCAGCGTTTGTAGAGTTGGATGGCATCACGGAGTCAACGGGCATGATCCTGAGGAAACTCTTTTGGCTTCCATAGTGACTCAGCAGTAAAGAATCTGCCTGCAGTGTGCAACCCGGGTTCAATCCCTGGGTTGGGAAGATCCCCTGGGAAAGGAAATGGCAACCAGCTCCAGTCTTCTTGCCTGGAGAATCCCATGGACAGAGGAGCCGGGCAGGTTACAGCCTACGGGGTTGCAAAGGGTCAGACATGACTTAGCGACTGAAGAACAGTGAGTTCTCCTGAGGTTCCTTAGTAGAATTAATCCCCATGTCCTAAGTCAGTGTGGCTTTCAGAGTGGAATCCCCAATCAGTGGCACCATGATCACCTAGGCACGTGTTATAACTGCAAAGTCTCAGCCCCCAACCCAGACCTACAGCACCAGAAATTGTAGTCATCATCTCCAGGTCATAGATGAAAAAAAAAACAAAAAACAAACTTAAACCGTGATAAGTATTATGATTCCAGGGTTACACAGTAGTAAAATTAGAACTCAAATCGTATTTATGGCATCCTATGCTGTACTATTCTGTCCACATATTGAACCTGAAGAGAAGAAGGGCAAAAGGGTGATTTTCCACCATGTTGGCCACTAGACAGACTTTTTGCAAAGGGTGATATGTCACTGCTGCCTCCTCCTCACTCACCAAAGTGCCAAGAGTGAGTTCTCATGACCTCACGGCTATCAGACAAACACCCCTGTGCTCTGGAGTCTGGAGCTTCCAGCGAGGCATCGTGCGGAGCCCAGCACTTCTGCCCTCCCTGCTGCAGGCAGTGAGGCTGTGGAGTGGGAGAAGGCACGGCCTTCAAAAGCGGGATTCACCAATCACTCAGAGTGAATTTTGGAGAAGTTTTTCAACTTTCCGAGTCTCGGGTTTTCATTTGTATAAATGGGGACATTAATATCTTCTGCCTCAAAGGCTTGTGATGTGAATTACTCCCTTTTGTAAAAAAAAAAAAAAATGTTTGCTTTTTTATTTTTATTTTTTCCATTTTTTTCAAATTATTTTCCCATTCAGGCTATTAGAGAATGTTGAGAGAGCCCCCTGTGCTTTGCCAGAGGTCTTTGTTATTGCTGTGACATGTGCACATTGCTATATTTAAAATGCATAATCCTCAGCTTCCTTCTTGCTATTGTATTTTCTTTTGTGCCTCCTTCCCATCTCTGAGAAGATAGAGGTCATTGCATTGTCAGAATATTTGTTTACGGAACCAGCCATGGAAATTTTGCATTTTGTTTTATTATGTACTACAGACTTTCTCAACCTTTGCACCATTGACATTTGGGGACAGATGATTGTTATATGGGGTATTTTGTGCAATGCAGGATGCCAGGAGCAACCAATTCCCATCCTCTGATTTTGCCAACTAAAAAATGTCTCCAGACCTGGCCTGTCTCCTGAGTGCAAATCCAATCCTTCCCACCCCACAGTCACAAATCAGAAGTTGGTCTGAGGAGAATTGCATAAGAAGAGGGTTATTCTACCTAGTTGCACAAATCATCAGGGAAACTAGTTATTAAACCCTCACAGAGGATTTTTGCTAAATGGATTTATAACGATTCACATTTTGGCAGACCATTTGCTTTGACAAAGAATATATTTACACAGAAGAAGCCAGTTGGTGAACTGGGGCAAGTAATTTAATAATTGGGTAGAACAGAAGCCAACTAGTAAACAAACACTGGTGCTTTATGTTTGCCTTTCTATTTTGTAGATTTATCTGTATTCTGCTATTAAATTCAACTAACTCTACTCGGCACAACATAAGCCATCTGAGGAGTTCTTAACAGTTATTAAAAATGCTGTTTTATTAATGTGTACTGTATTCTAAGCATAATTAATAATCTCATTCTTCCCAGACACAATAGCCTGTGTTCAGTGATCAATCCCTTAAAATAAAATACAAAGTGGTTCACATCTGTCCCTGTGAGAGACCAAGAAACTCGTGCAAGTCTTAGAATAAGTGGAAGTATTTTGTTGAGCTCTCCCAGTTGAGTCTTAGGTATTGTAAATACAAGAGAAACGCATCTTAGTCCTCCCCTTCAGGGAGCACCTTCGGCTGGACGGGCAGAGTCCCCTGGGACCCTGAGAGGCTGTGAGAACGGACGGAAGCCGCTCTGTGGTCTGAGAGGTGAGTGTGCTCCCCCGGCTCACCGTGGGCGGCGGGAGTGGGCCGGCGTCACGCGGCGTGGCTCAGTCACCCCCGAGCGGTGAGGGTGTCAGGGCTGCCGTCCACGGCTTGGAAACACTGGGGTAAGACCACCTGGCAAGGGTGTAGACTGGTCTTCCATATCGGGCCCTGTCAGTACAAGCTGAGTGGTCAGTTGGTCCTGAGCAGATACTCAGTCCACACTGGAGAATGTGACCGGGTCACAGCGTGGCGGGAGCGTGTGGCCTCTCAGAGGCCACCCGTCTGGACTGGACCATCTGCTGAGGGCTTCCAGTTGGGCTGAACCATCGTTATGTCTGAATTCTTTGTGTCCAAGGTCCTGGGGATGTGTTCTGGGCTGCATGTTTGTCTCCCCTAAAATTCATCTGCTGAAGCCCTAATATGATGACATTTGCAGATGGGGCCTTGGGAGGTGATTAGGTCATGAGGGGGTGTCCCTGTGATGAGATTACTGCCATCATAAAAAGAGAGACCCCCCCCCCCCATCAGTCTCTACTGTCTGACCTGGAAGCCAGGAGAAGCCTTCTCCAAGAACCTAACCAGGCTGGCACCTGACCTCAGACTTCAGCCTCCAGAACTGTGAGAAGTAAATGCATGTTGTTTAACTACCGTCTGTGCTGTTCTGTTGTGGCAGCACAAATGGACTAAGGCAGGCTGTTTCTGCAAAGTTCTGCTGTCCCAGCACGGTGGCTGGCTGTGATTTTCACACATCACTGGGTAGCTTCTTAGTTATTGGTGTAGAAATCACACTGAGACTATACTGAGCTGAACTGCAGAGAAAGAGTAAAGCTTCTCCCAGATGGGAATGCCACCAGAAATCAGTTGAGTAGATATCTACTTCACCCAGACAGACCCAATAAAGATGTATTCTTTTTTCATTTTTTTCATATCCATAATGACTTTTTTTTTGATCGAGGCAGGTAGATTTACAGAGCTGGATAACCATTTCAAAAAATAAGAAAACCCAAAACACTGTTTTACTATTACCTGAAAGAAAAGTAAGCTTCCCAAACAATACACTTCTGAGTGAGAAACAGGATTCAAATAACATATAGCCATGTGTCCTTCACCTTGCTCTTGTTCAAATAGTTATTTAGTGGATCAAATGTTCAAATGCCAACCTGGCAGGCACTCAAAAAAAATAAGCGGCCTCTTTTTTTAATTTTTATTTTGCTTTGTTCTTGTTTTTAAGAACAGAAGACAATATTCAAATGACACTGAATTGGCAGAGAAGAGCAGATGTCTGCAATTTATTTTCCTTGATTGGATTTTAATCGAATTTGCATAGGACCTTATTTATTTTCACTATCCAATTAAGGAGTCTGGACTCAGGAATCCAACTGAGGGTCAGTGTTTGTTCTGGTTGATGGATGATGGAGCTGTGAGACTGGGGTCATCTGAGGAATTCTGATTCTGAGCAGAGACAGGGATATTCTAAAGCAGGGAACAGCT